AAAAAAATTAGCTGGACGTGGTGGAGCAGTCCCAGCTACTTGGGAGGCTGAGGCAGGAGAATTGCTTGAACCTGGGAGGGGGCAGTTGCAGTGAGCTGAGATTGTGCCATTGCATTCCAGCCTGGGTGACAGAGCGAGACTCCATCTCAAAAAAACAAAAGTCATACATGAAACCAAAATGTGCCATGTGTGGTGGCTCAGGTCTGTTATCCTAGCACTTTGGGAGGCCAAGGCAGGAGGATCGCTTGAGCTCCAGGAGTTCAGCCTGGGCAATGTAGCGAGGCAGTATCTCTACAAAAAAAATACAAAAATCAGCTAAGTGCAGTGGCGTGTTCTAGATAGTTGGAAGGCTGCAGTGGGAGAACCACTTGAGCTTGGAAGGTGAAGGTTGCAGTGAACTGAGAGTGCATCACTGCACTCCATCCTGGGTAACAGAGCGAGACCCTGTCTCCCCGCTTCCCTGGCCAGAAAAGGAAATCAGTTTTTTTGTTTTTTTTTTTTAAGATAGAGTTTCACTCCTGTTGCTCAGGCTAGAGTGCAGTGGTGCGATCTTGTCTCACCGCAACCTCCACCTCCTGGGCTCAAATGATTCTCCTGCCTTACCCTCCCAAGAAGCTGGGGCTACAGGCATGGGCACTACACCCAGCTAATTTTTTGTTGTATTTTTTTGTAGAGATGGGGTTTTACCATGTTGCGCAGGCTGGTATTGGACTCCTGGGCTTAAGTGAGCTGCCCGCCTCAGCCCCCCAAAATGCTGTGGGATTATAGGCGTGAGCCACCGCACCCAGCCCCAAAATGTTTAAAGGCTCTAAGAAGAGGTGTACATTAATTTTGGACTTCCATATTCACTGATGATAGAAAGTACTTGTTTTTTAGCCATTCGTTTGTGAGTGTCAGGCTCTTAAGTGAAGACGTTCAGTGAGTCAACATCCACGCTTGCCTGGGTTGGTACACATGCCTTTGGTTCCATTGAAGTTGGACATCAGTGCTCATGTGCTTTGAATATGAATATTTGTATTTTCACAAAGTTGGGGAAAATACATAAAGCATTGATGTGTGTTTTAATTAAATGAGAAAGTTTGTAAAGTACTTGGTTTGAATATGTTCAAGAAATGGTAATTTCCCCTTACTCTCTAAATTAAATGGTAAGTCCCACCCTTCTCACACCTCATCTGTGTAGTTACTTTCATTTTATTGTCACTGTTCTTGGACAGTTTACCTCTGTAACTAGCCTCTTTAGCACCAAAATTATCACTAGTAATTGTGCTTGTATCAGAACCTAATTCAGCAATTTTGGTCCTTGTTGATAAACGAGTATACTTAATTTAGTAACTTTCATATTGCAGTGGCATTTTAAACCTGTGATTTGTCTCTTTATTGTGAAAAAAATGTGTATCAGATATGATGTTGTGCGACTTTGTCTTTAAGATTAATAAAGAGTTAACTCTTACATACAAGCTGGTCACCAAAGACCTACTTTAGGAAATTATAACAGTTATAGTACTATCTTAGGTTAGATTTTGTTAACAAAGATAAAAAGCTTCTTCTATCTTGATCTAATGTAGCTGTTAGAAGAAAGTAAACCAGGAGAAGGTGGCTGAACTTGGAAAATTTTTCACATTGTAGGAAAAATTTGGACCATAAAATTTAAGGTGGCCTTTTATGTTTTTGTTGCGATCTCAGATACTTAAGTGGATTGGCTTTCTTGATTTTAAAATAACAGAGGCAAAACACTTTTAAAGAAGAATAGCTATTACATATTAATTTGTCATATTACACACTACCTAATTAAATATAAATGGTAAGTAAACTTGGGCAAAATAAGTCTTATACTTCAGTAAAACTTCTTAGATTAACTTTCATAGAAAATTTAGAAAATTGTTCACTTAATTACTGAATGAGAAGTAACTATAAGGCCGGGGGTGGTGGCTCATGCCTGTAATCCTAGCACTTTGGGAGGCCAAAGTGGGCAGATCGCTTGTGCTCAGGAGTTTGAGACCAGCCTGGGCAACAGGGCAAAATCCCGTCTCTACAAAAAATACAAAAATTAACCAGGTGTAGTAGTGCATGCCTGTAGTCCCAGCTACTCAGGAGGCTGAGGTGGGAGGATGGCTTGAGCCTGGGAGGTGGAGGTTGCAGGGAGCCGAGTTCATGCCACTGCACTCCAGCTTGGGTGACAGAGTGAGACCCTGTCTCAAAAAATAAAAATAAAGTAACTATAATGTAAATTTTGGCTTGGCACGGTGGCTTACACCTGTAATCCCAGCACTTTGAGAGGCTGAGGTGGGCAGGTCACCTGAGGTCAGGAGTTCGAGACCAGCCTGGTCAACGTGGTGAAACCCCATCTCTACTAAAAATACAAAAATTAGCTGAGTATGGTGGCACACACCTTTAGTTCCAGCTACTCAGGAGGCTGAGACAGGAGAATTGCTTGAACCTGGGAGGCAGAGGTTGCAGTGAGCTGAGATCACGTCACTGCACTCCAGCCTAGGCAACAGAGTGAGACTCGGTCTCAAAACAACAACAACAACAAAAATATATATAAATAATATATTCAAGAAGTATGCCTAATGAACCAGAATGATCAGTCCTTTGTTGTTTTTTTTATGTAGGAGATTTCCTATGAATTTTCCATTATCTTTTTCTCCTCGTAATCAGATCTTGTTTTGAAATTCTGAATCTGGAGATCTGTTTTATTCAGAAGTATTTATATTCTTTTTTGAAGGATTATGTGTAACTTCATTGTATGTTTTGTGGTACCCTTTATTGTTAAAATTGACTTATTTAAAAATAGATTTTGTCCCTTCATCTCTACTAAAAATACAAAAATTAGCCAGATGTGTTGGCGGGTGCCTGTAATCCCAGCTACTCAGGCTGAGGCAGGGAATTGCTCGAACCCAAGAGGCAGAGGTTGCAGTGAGCAGAGATCGCGCCACTGCACTCCAGCCTGGTGACAGAGTGAGACTCCATCTCAAACAAACAAATAAACAAAAACATAGATTTCACCCTAGAGATGCATAAAGGTCCGCCTTTTTAAAAGCCACCTCTAGGTTGCAGTTTTAGCAACTACCAGTAGATGGCACAAGTTCCTGAAAAAAAATTACCTTCATAAGTTTAACGAGTACTAAATTTCTAAGTTTGTAAAAAAGGTTTTTAAGTTATAGATATTTTAGGTGAGATTGGTGGAGAGGTTATGGTGGGTTAAAAATGTCTGTTAACTTTAATTTTGCTTTATAGTAAAAGTCTTCTTGCAATTTTTTTTAATCAGTGGTTCTCAAAACTCTTAATTGTGTATCAGAATTTACAGACGGCTTGTTAAAAACAGACTGTATAGGCCGGGCATGGTGGCTCACACCTGTAATCCCAGCACTTTGGTAGGTAGAGACGGGAGGATCACTTGAGCCCAGGAGTTCAAGATAAGCCTGGGCAATATAGTGAGTCTCTGTCTCTTAAAAAAAAAAAAAAAGTTATGAGGGCATGGTAATACCTGCCTGTAGTCTTAGTTGCTGGGGAAGCTGAGGTGGGACAATTGCTTGAGCACAGGAGCTCAAGGCTACAGTGAGCGATGATCACACCCCTGCACTCCAGCCTAGGTGACAGAGGGCGACCCTCTTACACACACACCCCAAAACAGATTGTACAGAATAGTATTTCTAATAAGTTGCTAGGTGATGGTGACACTAATGTTGACAGTATTTTTATTAATGATCTGAAGATCACACTTTCAGAACCACTGTTTTTAAAATAAACAATCTGTTTTTTTTTTTTTTTCCAAAAGAGTATACCCATTTTCCACCTACCCTAATGTCTTTGGTCATATTTTCATTGAGTATGTGGTATCTGTACATACATGTTTTAGTGAAGTCATAGTATGTGTACATTTTTTTTCACATTCTGCTTTTTCTGTTATTTACACATTCCTTACTGTTAATGTATAGTCCTACTTTATTTCTGCATTGTCTGTCCATTGAACTCTACTAGAGAATTCCGCCGTATACTGCAGCATCATGTGAGAAAGCTATCATGTAGGCCTGAAAAGTGTTATAATTTGGCCTTGTGTTTTGACTAGTGTCTAGGATGGTCAGTGGTTTCATGGACACTGTCCCGTGTCTTTGTGGCGTAGGGAGTAATCTGGATTCAAAATAAATCTAATTAAATTATACCTTCTGATATTAAATGGTATGCGTGAAGAGGTTTCTTTTGTAGCCATATATGCAAAAATCTGTTGAGTTTGTGACACATGATCACTTCAGTGTCAGGGGAACCATAGTGAATTTTGGTTAGTTTGTAAAGAGGCATAATAAGAGGGAAATAAGAGAAATATAGTTGTTTTTCTCAAAATAAAGATGTCTAAAGCCCCAGTTTTCACCAAACACTTAAGAAATATGTCAGATCTTATTTCTTTTAAAATACAGAACTCTTTATGAATGTGTGTGTCATCCTTTCGCAGGGGCCATGCCAATCTCTTTATTGTTCCAGTTTTGGTACATGTACTGCTGAAGTGAGCACCAGACCTTATTTTGTAGTAGGTAGATAAGTAAATTGGTTAAGAAACCCCATAATTGTAGTAAGTACAATACAATTATTATATTGTAGGGTTGCTAACAATAATAAGCAAAAGAGTCTTTTTAAATTTCACTTGTTTTTAAACCTTGAATCATTTCACTTTTTTGTAATGCATGACATTTTTGAAAACCTGAATATTTATATAATGGATGCATTTGTCCGTTATAGCAGTGGTCCATTATTATTATTATTTTTTGGTCTTGTGAGTGGTCCGTATATATAGCAATGTCCATTATTTTGGGTTTTTTTTTCAACCCCTTTTCCAAAGGGAAATATTCATATTAGGAATGGGGACAAAGCAGATACCCTAATACTTTAATTAATGTAGAGTTCTACAATAAGCTGTATATTTTCCAAATGTAATTTAAACCATAATAGGTAAAAATACCTTCAATAAGATATTTTTAAATTTTAAAAATATGTTTCTTTAACAGGTTTCTATAATCCAGGAACTTGTTACTAATTATGAAGCCTCTCTTAAAACGTGTGACTTTTTTAGCCCATATGGTAAGTTTAAATTAGATTGAATTGGAATCTGATTACTCATTTCATTTTTAATCACAGTAATGCTCTTTTATGTATATTTTGTGTATGCTACCTAATGGCTACTTAATAAATTGGTGAATGAAATGAGAGCACTTTCAATCTTACTTAATTTAAATTTTCCATAATCCTGTGAGATGGGAGTTAACCTTGTGCGTTTTTGTTTGTTTGTTTTTGAGACAGAGTCTCGTCCTATCGCCCAGGCTGGAGTGCAATGGCACAGTCTTGGCTCACTGCAACCTCCGCCTCCTGGGTTCAAGCGATTCTCCTGCCTCAGTCTCCTGAGTAGCTGGGATTACAGGTGCCTGCCACCACACCTGGCTAAGTTTTGTATTTTTAGTAGAGATGGGGTTTCACCATGTTGGCCGGGCTGGTCTCGAACGCCTGACCTTGTGATCCACCCGCCTCAGCCTCCCAAAGTGCTGGGATTATAGGCGTGAGCCACCGCACTTGGCCTTAACCTTGTTTTAACGTGAGGAAACAGACTTGAGAGGTTGAATGGCTTGCCCAAGACCATGTAGTTAGTTTATATTGGAACCTGTTTTTCCTGAATCCCTAAATTCTCTGCTTTTTCTACCCTCTTACTACTTTTAATCCTGTTAGGTAGGTCCTTTGTTTCTATATTTGTAGGGGCATATATAAATCAAGGCAGCTTACTTTAGAAAACACTCTGATGTTTTCAATCATGCACATGGTAACTTCCAGGTTCCTTATGTGTCTCTTACATGTCATTACTCTTTGAGTATTTTTCTAATGTTTTTTGAAAGACAGGGTCTCACTGTGTTGCCCAAGCTGAACTTCTGGGCTGAAGTGATCCTCCCACCTCAGCCTCCTGAGTTGCAAGGACTATAGGCATGTGCCACCACCTGGCTAATTTTGTGAGGAGGGGGGATGGGGGTGGGTGTGGGGGTGTGGTTTTGTAGAGATGGGATTTTGCCATGTTGCCCAGGCTAATCTTGAACTCCTGAGCTCTAGCGATCTGCCTGCCTCAGCCTCCCAAAGTGCTGAGATTACAGGTGTGAGCCGCCACACTCTCTTTGAGTTTTTTAAAGGCACATTCCAGACTTACTGTTTCATCTGTAAATACCTTAGTGTGCATCTATATTTAAAACACTTAAACTGAAGAAGTCATCGCAGTGCTGTGTCACACAAAACCTCATAACATAATATCTGATACCCAGTCTGCATTCAGATTTCCCCCGTTATCCAAAAGAAGTCTTTGTGTTTGGTTTATTTGAGTATAGATCCAGTAAAGGTTCACACCAAATATTTGGTTATTATGTCTCCATAATTTGATTGTTATGTCTCATTATTTTAATCTAGAACAATAACTCTCCCTTTAAAAAAGAAAAACAACAGTGATTTGTTGAAAGGTCATTTGTCTTACATATCCCATATTCTGGATTTGGTTGATTGCCTTTTCTCATGGTATCATTTTCTGTATTTCACTGTCATTCATACTTCTTGTAAGTTAGAGTTAGGTTTACATGCTGGATTAGATTCAGGTTCTGTTTAAACACGGGTGGTGCTTTGTATTTCCTGTTGTGTCATATCAGGAAGCTTGAGACATTCTGGTTTTCTCTGTTTTTTGATGTTAACATTGATAAAGATTCAGATGTTGTCAGCCTGTTATACTCATTAAAAAGATCCATGACAGCGGAGGGGGTGGCATGGTGGCTCCACACCTGTGATCCCAGCACTGTGGGGGATGCTGAGGCAGAAAGATCTCTTGAGGCCAGGATTTGGAGGCCAGCCTGGGCAACAAAGTGAGACTCTGTGTCTACAAAAAATTAAAATGTTAGCCAGGTTCGGTGGTTCTCATCTGTAGTCCCAGCTACTTGTGAAGCTGAGGCATGAGGATCACTGGAGCCTAGGAGTTCCAGGCTACAGTTAGTTATGATCATGCCACTACACTCCAGCCTTGGTGACAGAACAAGACAAAAATTCCTCATTGGCCTCTCAGCCATTGAAGATCATTGCCTAGATCTGTTGTTGATTGTAGTAATTTCTTCTGCATTTGTTAGCTGGATTTTTTCTTATGAAGAACTTTCCTTCATCAAATACTTGGTTCCCTTGAAATATAGTTTATATAAGAGGAACAGAATGGATGCTTAACTCATTGCCTTTATTTTATTATTTGTGTTTTAATGTGCGCTATTGTATGTTTACATTATCATGTCATTTGGTCAGCTATGTAGGAGACCTGTTTGTTTTGATGTAGTGTGGGTTTATTCACTCTTTCCTCCTCATTTTTACACCAGTATGTCTTCCTTTCTGAAATCCATTTTGAGAGCTTGGTATTTCTTTTATCTGCTCCTCTGTAGTTAGAGGGTACAGGATGGGGAACAGGATAGAACTCAGATAAGTGTATATATGTGACTGCTTTTTTAAGAGGACTGGGCTGTGTTTTTTCTACTTAGGTTTTTGTCAGATGGCAGGGTTGTTGCTACTTTGTCAGGTGTGTCTTTTTCCTATAGGTCATAATCTTCAACTTTGGGTATCCCTGATTTAGTATTGAAGCCTGGAAAATGGTAAGCCATGGCAGTTTGGCAGTTCTTGCCTCTGCCGAAATCTTGCAGTGGTAGTTAGGAAATCTCTTTGCCAAGTTATTTTCCTTGACTTTTCCTGGTCTTGCTGCCCTTTTGCTTTCAGGCTGAGAGTTCACAGAATTAGATTGATGTATGTCTTTTCCCCAGCATTGTTTCTTTGGAGTGAGATTGGGGTTAGAAGCCTGTCAAAGTACAATCTTGTTTCTCTATGTGGCTACCACTTTTTGAATTTTATGAAGTCATACCTCTTTCTTTTGAAATTAGTTTTTGCTGAGTTTTTCCTGCTTGTTATTATTGCAATAGTCATTAATTTCATTATGAGTTAGGAGAGAGAAAGTATGCAATTTGCTTTACATTCTTCCTATAATAATTTAATATTTGTTTGATTGCAGAGGATGGGGAGAAGGAACCCCCGACAACACTACTTTGGGTTCAGTATTTCCTGGCACAGCACTTTGATAAACTTGGACAGTATTCTCTGGCTTTGGATTATATTAATGCTGCAATTGCTAGTACTCCAACTCTAATAGAATTATTCTATATGAAAGCAAAAATTTACAAGGTAAAATCAGAATCCTGCTTTTTGAGTAGTTGAAGAATTCAGCTACTTTAAGAATCTTTGGAGTTTTTTCTTTGTGGAAATAAGTTCTAGGGCACCCTGATAATCTTTTTCTAATAATTCTGAGTAGTTTCATGTTATATTAATTGTATAATCGGTGTGTAATTAGATGTGTCATCATTTGAGCTCTTAGTAAGTGTGAACTGTAATTTTGATTTCTAAATAAATTTGACAGAAATGGTGACAGATTTCTTTTTGGTCTGTAAATTATTTTCCATTTTATTGTACTCATATTCTCTTGATTATAAATTGTGGTTCCTTTAATTATCTTTTGTAGCATATAGGTAATCTCAGAGAAGCTGCAAAGTGGATGGATGAAGCACAGTCTTTGGACACAGCTGATAGATTCATCAATTCCAAATGTGCAAAATACATGCTTCGAGCAAATATGATAAAAGAAGCAGAGGAAATGTGCTCCAAGTTCACAAGGGTAGGAAACAGCATACATGAACATGTAATTGTCTAAATTAAGATGATTCGTGAAGTTTGCCACTGAAGTTCATAAAAATTCATTTTTGTTATTATTTTTTAAATCCCGTTTAACCCGTATCCTAAGAATGGTTTCTTACTGTAGTTGTGTATCTGTGTATGTGTATCTGGCAGGGGATGGTTAAACAATAGCAAGAGCAAAATATCTTGGTACATATATAAACAGTATGCCATACTTTAGCACTTACGTGTAAAATTTGATTTATATCTCAAATTCTTTGTCCCCCTAGTAATTTGTGACTGCTTTTTAATTCTGTCTTACTTTTTACTTGCTCATAGAGTTCTTTCTTTGTAGAACTAATTGCTGTGAACTAGTCTTTGTGACATTCAGGAATTTAAGTTTCCTGAGATGGGCTACACATCCATCCCTTTTCCCTCCTTCATGATCCCTTTATATCCTTTTCCACATAGACTTTCTGTTATAATACATGTTTATGGTTAAAAATATAAGTAGACTAATGAACAGAGTAGAAAGCTCAGAAGCAGATTTCACACATATTTGGAAAATGGGATATACCCAGAGATACCGTAAAAATCAGAGATGAAAAGATTTTGCTGGGACAATTAGTTATTTCTATTGGGGAAAAAACCCACCAATATCCCTGTCTGTCACTGTACATGAATCGGTTCCAGGTGGATTAAATATCAAATATGGAAAGCAAACCATTCATACTTATAGAAGAAAATATATAGGAGTTTATCTTTAGGATAAACTAATTCTAATATAATCTAACATAATCTAAAATTTTGCTGTACATGATCAGTTCCAAGTGGATTAAAGATCAAATATGGAAAGCAAACCTTTCCAACTTATAGAAGAAAATATATATGAGTTTATCTTTAGGATAAAGAAGCATTCTTTATGCTTGAGGTAGGAAGCATTTCTTGACACCAAAAGCATATAAAGTAGAAGAGAAAAATTAAACTGGGCATGGTGGCATGTGCCTGTAGTCCCAGCTACCACATAGGAAATAGCACTAAGTTCAAAATCTTCAGTGCCCTTTCCACTATATCACAGGTTTGAAATTAAGAAGAGAGTACAAGGAATAAACATAAAACCAATTATGTTTTCAGAGAAAAGTACCACATGGAAGGCCAAGGTAGTGATCAGAAGTAAAATACAATTAAATATGAAGTATACAGGTTGAGCCTCCCAAACCTAAAATCCAAATTCCAAAATGCTCCAGAACTTGAAACTGTTTGAGCACTAGTATGGTGGTCAAAGGAAATGCTCATTGGAGCATTTTGGATTTTGGATTTTTGGGTTTGGGATGCTCAACCAGTAAGTATAATGCAAATATTCCAAAATTGAGAAGGTTTGCAACATTTCTGGTTCCAGACATTTCTGATAAGTGATACTAAATCTAGTGATTTTTAAGAAAACAAAAAAACCCAGAGATACTGGGATGCGACTTTAAAGGCACAGGAGAATGAGAAAGAAGATGAGAGTTGGTTATTTAAGGAGAGTAGTCACCAAAATCTGTGGCTCGACTTGCTCATCATAACTGCGTCTGATCATCCACTTTTGACAAGTTGCCATGCTATATGGTAAGGTTGTTCACTTTATCCACACTAGTTTGTTGGCCAGGCAAATCCATAGTGTGTGATGAACAACATAATGAGGCAGGGGAAGAAAACTACAAATGACCTGGAATAATCAGGATATATCTGCTTGCTAATAAATGAGTGAAGGGCGCATATTTCCTTCTCGCAGATTTTTTAGTTTAGAATTTTTGTACAGAGTTGCTGATGCATGTTGGATAGTTCTAGTTGATAAACTTTTTGAAATGAAAAGTAATACATTCCTCTTATAAAAATATGTGGCCATTAACAAAATGGAAAATGTAACACAACCATAGTGAAGACAGAAAATACATCAACATTTCTGTTCACCCAGAGATAACTAATTTTTAGACTTTTAATGTGTTCTGAAAATTGAACTGATACACAAAATGTGAGTAAAAACTGTAGCCTGAAATCATCTATGTAAGTGTACCTTTGCCATCATTTCCTGGGGTCAAACAAAATATATTTTAAATGTCTCTTCTAAACTGTGACAAAACTTGAGTATCGTTGCACTTAAAATTGGTTAATTTATGTCTCACACTCCTCTCAGAATTTTTATTGAGCCTGAATTAACAAATTCAGTTATTTGGTTTTGTCAGCCCACTGCAAAGGAGAAATATTAAAGTAGAAGAGTTGGCATGAAACAGGAGATGCTGATAGAAGCAGACACACGGGCACAAAGACAGTGACAATGGGGGAGGGACACTGGGAAACCAAAAAACAGGCCTGCAACTATTACTAACAGATTTGACAAATACTGAATATACATAACAGTGACCCTGAGTCAGCAAGGAAGGCTGAAATAGCTTTTGCTTGAAAGGGAGAAGATAGACAGTACTTCATATGACACTTTCTTAAATAGATGAAATAAAAACTTTGGTGTTTGAAAAACTAAGATTTAGTAATTTGGAGTCTTTTCTATGAAGAGTGTTGAATACCCCAGCAGAGCTGGGTAAATAAGACATCCTGTATATGTGTGTTTTCCATCTGATAACTGAGATGGCTCCTAAGTGACAGGTCAGTAGCAGACAGTGTGGATGTACTAGATAAAGGGATGATTCACGTCCCGGGTGGGATGGAGTGGGACGGTGCAAGATTTTATCACAATACTCAGAATGGCATGCAGTTGAAAACTTACGAATTGTTTATTTCTGCAGTTTTCCCTTTAATATTTTTAGACCATGGTCGACTGTGGGTAACTGAAACCATGGAAAGCAAAACCTTGGATAAGGGGAGACTATTGTAATGTAAAACCATGTTTGGAAACATACTGATATATTTGCTAATTGCTGCTATTGTCATAATAGTACTGTAGCCCTAGTTGTAAAGAGGAAATGATTTTTAGGATCTGTTTCATTGTTGCTCTCTATAGTTTTGAATGCTTCCATTTCAGGAAGGGACATCTGCCATGGAAAATCTAAATGAAATGCAGTGTATGTGGTTTCAGACAGAATGCATTTCAGCTTATCAGCGTCTGGGGAGATACGGGGATGCCTTGAAAAAATGTCATGAAGTAGAAAGGGTAAGTTGTTAGAATTTCGACTTCAGTTTTCTCTGTAAGGTGATAAAGAGCAGGTAGATTTCTACACGGGATCATCTGCCTCTTCTAACTTCTCTGGGAGCTTCATTGTGAAAAAAATTGTTGATCTTTAACCTTCTTTACATTCAGAAGTTGTAAACAGTGGATTGCTTTATTGATCCTCAAGTGATTATGCTTTTGACATGTCTATATATTTTTGTCTGGAGGAAAAAGATTGTTAGTAAACTATTATTGCTATTAACATAAATTCAAAATTTCTGTTCCCTAATTAGGCCATTATTTGATATTCATCACCACCCTAAGAGGACACACAGCTGATGGCAACCTCTTTCCCCTTTAAAACATCAGGATCTGGTCCGCAGTCAGCCTCTCTCCAGTTTGTCTTCCCAGGATATTTGCTCTCACATTCAGTATTCTGTATGACAATCTATGGCCAGTTTGCAGGCTTATTTTATTGCTTGCTTTTAGGATTATGTGTGTGATGTGCCTTAGTGAGGGGACTTTTCTTTTCCTTTGTGTGAATTTTTGTTTTCCTGTTCTTTGTCATCTCTGAAGCACTCTCCTTCCACATGGACCACAGGAGGAAAAGAGCCGCAAATGCACCCCTGAGGCAGTCCTCAGCAGCCCTCAGTTGTGGGGGCAATCGGCACCACTGTTCCCATCCTGACGCAGTATAGAACCACAGGCATCGTAGTCAGGTGAGCCTGATGTCTGCACCGTGGCAGTCACTTTGGCCTTTTTCCCATGTGAAACTTCTGAGATTACCCACAAGGAAGTCTAAATTTTAGGGGGTGGCTTTTGATGGGGACTGGAACTAGGATTATACCCAAGCATTTTTGGAAATAACCTAATTTTCGCTGTTTTTGTTTTTTGTTTGTTTGTTTTTCATGCCCTTTTAAGCCTGGGCTTGATGGCTGCATCTCTGGGGAAAATCTTCCTCATCTCTTTGAAAAATATGAAGCCCTTGGGATGATAGGTGAAATATCCAAGCATTCTAGTTAAATCAGGCTCTTGTTACCTTGATGAAACCGCAGAACACTAGGTTGTTACACTCCTTAGAGGATCATTATTTTAAGAGCATTCTGCTTGTTATTAAGGAAAGATACATTTTTATTAACTAGGACATTCTCAGTGAGAAGTAAATTGTTTCCCTTATGAAGAGGCTGCTATAGGCACTTAGGAATTAGTAATTCAGCAAGACCATAACTAGAAATTTACCAGATTTTCTGTTTAAATGAAATTTGAATATCCTAAGGATCATTATAGTTCTGAACTTCTTGAACTTAAATTTGATTTCTTCTAACATTGATGACTATATTGCTTTATTCTTTTTAATTTTGAGAATTTTTAGAATATGATAAGTAGATCTTCCATGACTAAGTTTCATTTAGATTACGCTTTCCCTTAAATTTTTAGTGATTTTGGCTGAGTTGCATGGAAAAAAATTCTGTAATGTCAGAAAATCTACTGACATAGTTCAAGAAATTAAGTGGTAAAAAGCATTTTTGAAGAAAGAAACTATAGGAAAATCATTGGTTGTCATAGAGTAAAATGGCAGAAATCATCACCCTCTGGTCATGTTACATAATTATTGTCGCTGGAAGCTTTAGGGTTTACTGTTAACATTTGAGATAAGAAAGAAGTAGAAACATCAGAAAAGAACCTACTCTTACGCCACTTGTAAGCTAGTCTAAAATGAATATATCCATACTAAAAGCAAATAAGGCAACTCTTTTGTAGGTATTATGTATATTCTACATGTGTGGTTATATATAGAAACGTGTTTTGTATAAATAGGGTGACTAAATAGGTTGATGGAATGATTAATGCTTAATTTCTAATATCTAAAATTTCTAATATCTGAAATTCTTAATAAAATTGGAAGGATTTAGGAATAATTACAAGCTTCAGATTTATTATAATAGGTATCTACATGAGTTACCTTATGCTTGGGTTTTAAATATTTTAATAAGGACACGTACACCTTTCAGAAATAAAACTTTGCAGTTTACCTTCTAAATAGAAGGTTAGCGAATTGTGAAATAAGTTCAAATAAGGGTTAGGTCTTTATTCTGCTTTGAAGAAGTCATTCAGGAGTTATTTTGTTGAAGGCAGTTTCAGCCAGGATACATACTGCTTTGAGCTCCTAGTAATTGGATTTGAAAAGTTGGAATTCTAGAATAAGCTAGTGTAGTATCTTTTCTGTTTTCATCTTGCCCCACCTCATAAGATTTTAGGGTTATATTTTAAGGTTTTGTAGTCCAACCCAATCTGATGTTTAAAACTTGAGTTTTATTAAAACAAAACGTTCTTCAAAATGTTAGATTTAAACTTGTGTTCAGAATAACATTTGAACCTATTTTATCTTTCAAGAATTGGGTTTTCTTTCCTTCCATTTTTTTTTCTTTTACTGTTAGACTTCTGGTGATTGGATTATCATTATTTTAGAGTGCTGACTTAGATATGAAACAGGGCAACAATATATATATTTTGAATTCTTTGATAAGACCTAGGACTTCTGATAGATCTAAACATAGGAAGATCATAACTTTATCTTCTATTGTATCTTAATCTTTATCAAATTGACAACATGCTTTATAACAACAGATTCTCTATTAAGTAAATTATTGAGTTGCTTATTTTCCTAGTTGACCTAGTTATTTTTTAAATCCAGAGGTTTTTGTTGCCTCTCTTTGTATAAGCTCTTACTAGTCACATCCGGGAACCCTGAGAGGTAGTGGGAAGGAGAATCTGGGCTAGGAGAGAGGTCCTAACAGAGCGAGACTCTGTCTCAAAAAAAATAAATAAATAAATAAAATAAAAATAAAAAAGAATGGCTTTATTTTATTTTTATTTTTTTTATTTTTTGGAGACAGTCTCGCTCTCTTGCCGGGGCTGGAGTGCAGTGGCGCTATCTCGGCTGACTGCAAGCTCCACCTCCCGGGTTCTCGCCATTCTCCTGCCTCAGCCTGGCGAGTAGCTGGGACTACAGGCGTCTGCCACCACACCTGGCTAATTTTTTTTGTCTTTTTTAGTAGAGACGGGGTTTCACTGTGTTAGCCAGGATGGTCTCAATCTCCTGACGTCGTGATCCGCCCACCTCGACCTCCCAAAGTGCTGGGATTACAGGCTTGAGCCACCGCGCCCGGCCTGAATGGCTTTTCTTAATTCTTGCTTAGGGGGAGAGAGTTAAGGGCATGAGCTGTATGTTAAGATTTGAATACTTAGTTTTCTGCAGTGAGCTAAGGGATTTTTATCACGCCCTTCCTGTTTGGCCAAAAGGTACAGGGAAACTAACTTTATCTGTTGATGTTGTGTAGCATATTTTTGTGTTTTGAGACTGAAAAATCAACCCAAGGGGGAGCTTCATGGTGATGGATTAGTTCTGTCTCTTATGGTAGTGGTTACATGAATCTACAAATGATAAATCACATAGAACTATACACACATTGTACCAATGTCAGTTTCTTGGTTTTGATACTGTATTGTAGTTACGTAGGCTATAACCTTTGGGGGAAACTGAGGGAAGGATATACACCTTTGCTACTTCCTCTGTATCTATAACCCCAAAGAAAAAGTTAAAAAAAATTCAACCCAAGATTATTTAGTTGTTTCTATATAGTGTTCTGCAATATACTGTTTTTTCAAAAGCAAATATTACAATCAGCTGTGGCTGCAGTATCCCACTTGTTTTTAATGTAGCCATATTCTGTCTATCACCATTAGTTTGTTATAGAGTGATTAACAAGCCAGGTTTGCTTGAGGCTGAGTGGGTTCCCAAGACACATTGCTTTCAGTGGAAAAACTGAGAGAACCTCTGGCAAACTAGGATAAGTTGGTCACCCAATTTATGGAAGACATTAACTGGAGAGAGGCAGCCTATGGGCTGTTACTGATAAAGAGGTGGCTTAAATATTTGTGGTTACATACGGCCCCCTCCAAGACTTGACTTAAAATCTGTATTAATGCTGCTAGGAATATCTCTTGAAGTTTGTCATCTGCCTTTTTCAGATGTTTCTCAACCTAAAAGAATGTCCTGTAATCTCTTAGATGTTTTCATCTGATTATGTGTTCCAGGACTTTAGCGCCGCCTTTTTTCTTTAGTTAACTGTATTGAATTTTTAAAATATTCTTGTGCTAGTTATAACTTGATTTACATTAAGAGAAACCACTAACAACTTTATGAAATATGTAATCCTTTGATTTAAAAAAAAAGTTCATGTTAATATTTATGATTTCATTTTATTGGTGGGAAAGATGCAGTTTTCAAATATAACATCATTAAAGCGTGGCTTTTTAGTCATAAACTAATGTGAAATGTTCACTTTTTCTGTTTCTTGCCCTCCATACTGTGTATTTTTATTCTTGTTATAATTTTTCTCTTAAAGTCTCAGGTACTTAATGTAATTCTGTATATAGTGTGTTTCTGATTACCAAGATAATTATCAGATGATTATGGATAATTACTAATGTGTCCTCTGCACAGTGACTTAACAATCCCCAGGACAGAGGGAACATGAACTAGTAGGAAAGCTTGATCTATATTGATGTATTAAATCACTCATTTTTCTGTATGATTTTGGAAAAACTAAAGTATAAAAAAAGAAGTCAGAGATGGAAATGCATGCAGGGGAAACAGTACAAGTGTAAGATTGTTTTGTTGGGGGAGGGGCAGAGGGTTAGTGTTCACCTTTCATGGAAGGGATTAGTTCTTAACCTCTTTTGGCCATGGATCCATTGGAAATTGGATGAAAGCTTTTGAGCTCTCTCCTTAGGAAGAAGTTTTTATACTTGTTTATATATAGATTCCAGTTTCAGAACTTCTGCTAAAATGGAATGTAGGTAGTTAATGGGAGCTTATTGAGTAAGAGAAAACCATCAAGTTCTATATTTATGTAACAGTTTACTGTTGAAAATGAACTTTAAAATACATTATTTGATCCTTTTAACAACCTTAAGAAATTGGCTGTATGGATTTCTTTATTCTTAGATTACATAATTAAGGGTCTAGGAAATTAAATGGCTAATTCAAGATCTCATCCCTAATAAGAAGCTTATCTCTTGAGTGGGCAAATACTGTGCTTATTAAATGTCTGCTATGTATTAGGGCCTGTGGCAGGCAGTGGGTAAGGATTGCCCTTGAAAAGCGTAGAGTTGAGTAGATTTGTAAATATTTAGTGTGAACCTACACATATTTAGACTTCATTTAGAGCTCTGTTTAACTGTGCCATGCTGGTTTTTAGGGAATATGGAGGAAGAGTATTTCATTAAAACTAAAATATTAATATATACTAATTTTCAGGTTTAAAAAATAACCTGATCTTTTGACTTATATAGAAGTTGAGTATCATCATAAAACATGATTTGTAGGGAATGGGCATGGTTTGTAGGAAGAGAAAGTTCAAGTTGAATGCAAAAAAAAATTCATATCCTTTATAGTGTTAAACATTGGAGAGGGCAGCTAAGTGAAAATTGTGACTGTTTAAATTGTTTTTTGGGCTTTTTACAATTTTTTTTTCACAAGGTAGACATTGACATAAATGTAAAGGTTAATTTTGTGATTTTTGTTTTTAAGCATTTTTTTGAGATAACCGATGACCAATTCGACTTCCATACATACTGCATGAGAAAGATGACCCTTCGTGCCTATGTTGACCTTTTGAGATTAGAAGATATACTCAGAAGACATGCCTTTTATTTCAAGGCTGCTAGATCAGCGATTGAAATATACTTGAAATTGTATGATAATCCCTTAACCAATGAAAGCAAACAACAAGAAATAAACTCAGGTAACTGAATAGGAACTTAAAAGATTTTAAAAGGACACTAAATTTCAGAATGCCATTAGCATACACAACACATAGAAAAATATTAATATATTGTCTTTGGAGTTGAAGACAAACATTAGATAAGTCATATGCCAAAAAACAAAAATGTTGCGGAGAGAGTTGAAAAAAGTGGGATGATATTTTGTAGCTGATGCTTCTAAATTAGTTTAATGGAATAACTTAGAATTCTTTTTGTTTTTATCTTCTGAAAGACCAATTTAGGAACTGGGTGTGGTGGTTCACGCCTGTTATCACAGCACTTTGGGAGGCCAAGGCAGGCAGATCATTTGACGCCAGGAGTTCAAGACCAGTCTGTGCAACATAGCATTACCCTTGTCGCTACAACAATTTTAAAAAGACAAGTGTAGGAAACATAGATATAATATGTCTGTGAACTAGTTTTTTTCTTTCTTTTTTAAAAAATTGTAACTGAAAGTAGCTTTGAGCTCTTTCGGGAAAAATATATAATCTTAAAATTTCTAGTACCTACTTTATTAAAAATAAGAATATCAGTGAGAATATCTGTACAGTGTTTTCACTAGGATGTTAATATCTAGGAATATTTGAGAAATAGTTAGCATGAAATGTGCCTAGATAACTCTCTCAAATATTCCTAGGTATTCATTTCTAATATATAGTGTTTAGAGATCACAGGTGGTTTTATGTATTCTCACTTATTCTTGAAAGACTTGATACTGAAAAGGATAAAGTGATTTGCCTGGAGTCATGTATTGTGTAGGAGGCAGAAGTGGGCTACAATTGGTCAATTTTAGTTAATGCAACATTTACTGGCTATCCTTTGTGTGCCCAACTTTGTGCTAGTCACTGGGGATACACTTTCTAAAAACTTTTATATGGGTTGCCTCTGCGTCCCTCCTTGCCCAGCCAAAAAACAGAAAAAAAAGTATACAACTGGCCCTCCATTTTTGTGGGTTCCACATGGGTGGATTCAATCAACCACAAATCAAAAATATGTTTTTTTAAATTGCATCTCCACTGAACATGTCCAGACTTTTTTCTTGTCATTATTAATATTTACTGAACAATGCAGTATAACAAATGTTTACATAGCATTTACATTATTTTAGGCATACCTATAGACCATAATATAATTTATGAAAAAGTGAAATCATTATATGCAACTTAAAGCAAAAGGAAGGTGAAAGATTTAAAAGCTGATCTAATTTAAAGTATACGGGAGGATGTGCATAGGTTGTATGCAAACACTGTGTCATTTTATATCACAGGCTTGTGTATCAGTGGATGTTTTGGGGTGGGGGGGGTTGGGGGTCCTGAACCAATCGCCCACTGATACCAAGGGACAACCATACTAACAGTATGTATTACAGAAGAATACGAGGAAAATGCAAACATTGACTCAGAATTTTTGTTCATTTGGATATTTATAGAAAACCTGTCAGCCAAAGAATTGAAGAAAATGCTTAGCAAGCAGAGAAGAGCCCAGAAAAAGGCTAAGCTAGAAGAAGAAAGAAAGCATGCAGAAAGAGAACGTCAACAGAAAAATCAAAAGAAAAAAAGAGATGAAGAAGAAGAAGAAGCCAGTGGCCTTAAGGAAGAACTTATACCTGAAAAATTAGAAAGGGTGAGATGGGTTTTACTGTCTTTGTTATTTGGTAAAATTTATTTTATTTGGTTCTGTTCTGACAGTTAACATGATTTATTTAAATCTGTAAGAAGCCATTTGAAATATTTCAAGGTTTTAACAATAGCTGTCAATTATCTTTGAGTGACAATGTACAAATTTTGGCTAATGCAGGTTGTACATAGAATTGTAATTGTAGTAGGCAAAGTAATGGCCCTGCAAAGGTGTCTGTGTTCTGATCCCCCCAACCTGTGAATATGTAACCTTACATGGCAGGGGAGAATTAAGGTGGGGGATGGAATTTATGGTTGTAATGAATTGACCTCAAGATAGAGAGGGTGGCCTGGATTGTCCATGTGGTCCTAATATCATCAAAAGGGGCCTTAAAAGTTGAGGATGCTAGCAGCAGAGGTCAGAATGATGCAGTGTCAGGAGGACTCAACCTGCTGTTGCTGGCTTTGAAGATGGAAGGAGGGTGCCACAAGCTTAAGGAATGTGGGCAGTCTAGAGAAGCTAAAAAAGGCATTGGACGGATTCCCCTTTCGAGTCTCCAAAGAGAATGCAGTCCTGCTGACACCTTGATTGTAAGCCCAGTGAGACCCATGTTGGACTTTTAACCTATAAGAACTATAACATAGTAAGTTGTTTTAAGTCACTAAATATTTGGTAATTTGTTACAGCAGCAGTACAATTGTCTGTTACATATGGAATCATTTTACCTTATATGTCTTATTAGAAATGTTTTAGCTACAAAGAGATAGTACCTCCAGGATTTTCTCAAGTGTTAATAGTTGTTTTGAGATCAGATTTAAGGAAATGTTTAGTTTTTTGGTTTATTCACTGTAAGTGTAATACAGTTGACCTTTGAACAACATAGGTTTGAACTTTGAGGGTCCAGCAAAGGACGGTTTGATAACTTTAGAAAGATGTTTGGCTTAAAAAATGTCCAGATAACATAATAATCAACTTCTCACCAAGAGCCAGCAGGGAAGTTTCAGATGCTATTGAGAAAATCCTTGAGGAGAAGGAGTATCTGCCTGAACAGATTTTTAATGTAGACAAAAAGTGCTCTATAACAGGAAAAAATAAAAGCCACAAAGGACATCTATTAGTAAGGAAAATAAGCGAACACCAGGATTTAAGGCAGGAAGGGATAAGCTAACTCTACCATTTTGTGCAAATGCAGTTGGGATTATGACCATGCCTGGCCTTATCTATAAAGCTACTAACCCCTGAGCCTTGAAGGGAAAAGATAATAGCTGTCAGTTGGTTTTACAACAAGAAGGCCTGGACAGTGAGAACCCTTTTTCTGGATTGGTTCCATCAATGCTTTTTGTCTCTGAAGTGAGGAAGTACCTTGCCAGTAAGGGACTGCCTTTTAAAGTTCTTTTGATAACTGGACAGAACCCCTGGTCATCCAGAACCTCATGAGTTCAACTCCAAAAGTGTATAAGTGGCCTACCTGACCCCAAACATGTCTCTAATTCCGCCTCTAGATTAGATTGGGGGGTCATAAGGACCTTTAAGACTCACTACATCTGGTACTCTATGGAAAGGATTTTCAACGCTATGGAGGAGAACGCCAGTAGAACATTATGAAAGTCTGGAAGGATTACATCATTGAGGATGCCGTCATTGTTAACAGATAAAGCATTGAAAGCCATCAAACCTGAAACAATAAATCCCTGCTGGTGTCCAGATGTTGTATACAACTTCACAGGATTTATGACAGAACCAATCAGGGAAATCATAAAAGAGATTGTGGATATGGCAAACAAACAAAAAAAGTGGAGATGGCGGTAAAGGGCTTCAAGATTAGGAAACCTGGAGAGATTCAAGAGCTAATAAATGCCACAACAGAGGAGTTAATAGAAGGCAACTTGATGGAGATGAGTGCTTCCAAACCATTGCCAGATGATGAGGAAGAAAACATAGAAGCAGTAGTGCCGGAAAACAGACGGACATTAGACATTCTGGCAGAAGAGTTCCAATTATTCAAGACTATTTTTGACTCTTATGACATGGACCCTTCTATGATACAGGCATTGAAACCAAAGCAAACAGTGGAAAGATTGGTACATCTTTGTACATTTGGTACATTGACACACATCTGTTAGCATTTGAAACATTTTTAAATAAATAAAAAAGCAAAAAAGAAATTATAGTATACTTCCATAAAGTTAGATGGAATGTGCCTGCCTCTTCTGCTTCCCTTTCTACCTCCTACATCCCCGCCATCCTTGAGGTAGCAAAACCAGCCCCTCCTCTTCAGCCTACCCAACATGAAGACAAGGATAATGATCCACTTCCACTTAATGAGTAGCAAATATATTTTCTCTTCCTTATGACTTTTTTAATAACATTTTATTTTCTATATCTTACTTTATTCTAAGAATACAGTATATAATATAACATATACAATATGTGTTAATCAGCTGTTCATGTTATTGGTAAGGCTTCCAGTCAACAATAGGCTATTAGTAGTGAAGTTGGGAGAGTCAGAAGTTACACACAGATTTTCAACTGCATGGGGGAGGGTCAGCTCCCCTAATGCTCTCGTTGTTCATGGGTCAACTATATTATAAGCATTTTAAATTTTATTAACGTCTCTTTACTATTTCATGCCATTTTATTTGTCTCCTTACTTTAGATATGTATAGTATATAAGGGACTGTCAGTACATGATGTACCATCTCTTTAAGTCTGTGGAATAACTTTATGTATTTTTTTGTTTTAGTAAAATTATCTTGATTTTGTAACCAGAAAAAAAAGCTATTTCTGTTTTGAAAAGTATTGATTGTATACTTTGAATTTATTTACAGATGATTTTTAAATGTTTTCTTGTTTTTTAGTTTTATAAAGAAAGCCATCTAAATTACTTTAGACATATGTTAATATAAAATTTTAGGGGAAATTTGACTTGTGCTGATGTTTTTTAAGTAATTTTCCTTTCTGTTTCAAAATAGGTAGAAAATCCATTAGAGGAAGCCGTTAAGTTCCTTATACCTCTTAAGAACCTTGTTGCTGATAACATTGACACTCATCTGTTAGCATTTGAAATATATTTTAGAAAAGGTAATAAATAGTTTGAATTCAGTTTTTAATCTTTAATTATATTTGTGACCATATTCAGTGTAATCTTTGTCAGTTAGTTCTATTTTTATTTCTTAGATTTCCATTTCAGCCTTCTACAAAGGCTCTTTTCCTTGGCTACTCAAAACTTAAGTGGGTAATAAATTAGAATAGTACTATCAAATCCAGTGTAAGAATAGTTTGAACAATCATACAAATTGTCTACCTGAAGCAGTTTTTTATGATTTTTCAAGCTTTTCTTTAGAAAGCCATAGTTGACTTTGATAGCCAGAGTCAACTTTAAATTTTGCTTAAGAGTGTTATAAAAAAGGTAGCATTTTGTTATTGGACTTAAGTGAGACTAAAATAAAGTGAGGAAAATAACATGTAAGTATTAATGCTATTACTTTTGTATTTTTTCTGACACAGGCAAGTTTCTGTTAATGCTGCAGTCTGTCAAACGAGCTTTTGCCATTAACAGTAATAACCCGTGGTTACATGAATGTTTAATTAGATTTTCTAAATCTGGTAAGTATAAAAAAGGCCCATATTTACATTTATGATTTATATCATTTCTAAGGGGAGGCAATTGTTAAATCACTGTTTGATATTTGATAACCCTCTCTTTGTGAAGTAAAAAGCCCTGATTTGTATTTTCATGATACACATACTCTGATCATGGCCCGAACTGTCAATGGGATGCCACTGAGAGAAGCAAATATAAGTTGTTTTACATTAAGCTGGTGGACATTAAAGAGATTTGCAATAACGTAAAGCAAAATAAATAATAATTTACACAGTAGTTAAATGAACATGCGTCTATAAAATAGACATGTTACCAGGAGATGGTAGAAATGAGTGCATTTGCTAGGATGTATTTATATTCCAAAGGAACAATAATAATTTTACTATGTAAAATCAAGTTTAATAATGAAGGGTTTTTGTTGTTGTTTTTGAGACAGTGGAGTGCAATGGCATGATCTTGGCTCACTGCAACCTCCACCTCCTGGGTTCAAGCGATTCTCCTGACTCAGCCTCTTGGGTAGCTGGGACTACAGGCGCGTACCACCATGCCCGGCTAATTTTTTTATTGTTAGTAGAGATGAGGTTTCACCATGTTGGCCAGGCAGGTCTCAAACTCCTGATGTCAAGTGATTCGCCCACCTCAGCCTCCCAAAGTGCTGGGATTACAGGTGTGAGCCCCCGCGGCTGGCCATAAAGGGTTTTCAATAGGTTTTTTTTTTTTTTTTTCCCCCAAAGGACAGATCAAAACCAAAAAATCCAAATGTTTTTCTTTTTATAGTGTCTAATCATAGTAATCTTCCAGACATTGTGAGCCAAGTTCTATCTCAAGAAATGCAGAAAATATTTGTCAACAAGGATTTGGAAAGTTTTAATGAGGATTTTCTGAAACATAATGCTACCTCTCTTCAGCATCTACTTTCAGGTTTGTATGTAGCCCCCAGGGTTAAAATGCCTATGGAAAAAGCGAACAAAGAGAAAGTTTTGACACCCCCAAAATTTAAAGCAAATGAACAGTACTTACTGTGTGTAAGTATGGGGAGAGAAATGTGGACAAATTTAATGTTATGTTCAATAATAGGGGAAACAGTGATGGATTCATAGGATGTAATATCAGATTTAAAGTGATGTTTATTTAAAGGGTTTGTAATAACGGTCAAATACTTTTATAATACATGTGCAGGATTGAACATACAATGTAATCTCAACTGTACATGGGAAAAAGGCTGAAAGGAAGTGTCTACGAAAGCTTTAATGTTGATTTGGGGTGTGTGGTTATGAATGATTTCTTTTTTCTTTTCTTTTTTTTTTTTTTTTTTTTTGAAATGGAGCCTCACTCTGTCACCCAAGCTGGAGTATATTTTTTCTTCTAATTTATAGGAGAAATATAAACTGTGTTTTATTTTTTAAAATTTTACTTTGTTTTTGAATATGCAAACATTTTCCTGTTTTCCCCACCCCCTACTCTCCTCCTCTGTGACAGTAATTCCTTAGATGTTTTATTTTAGAATACCTTTTTTCATAGTTTTGGCTAAAATACTGATTGATACCACAGGGCAGTCCGTATTTACATTTTGAATTTTATTTCTAAGGGAAGGAAGTTGTTAAATCACTGTTCATCTGATAGATGTTTAATAACCATCTTTTTGTGAAGGGAAAAGCTCTGATTTGTAGTGTATTTTCATGATATAAATATTCTGATCATGGCCTAAGGTATCAATGGGATGCTACTAAATAGGAGGTAGGAAAGAAATGTCACACTTGGCTCTCATGAGCTGGTAGGAGCCAGCTCCAGCTTACCACTGTTTAAACACTTAAAACCATATTTTAAGTCACTGGCCACTTGATATCACATAAAATGTAAAGTATAGGTGTTTATTCATTTTGAAATGCCTTGGTATTTCAGGTGCTAAAATGATGTATTTTCTGGACAAGTCAAGACAAGAGAAAGCAATTGCTATAGCCACTAGACTGGATGAAACTATAAAAGATAAAAATGTAAAGGTAAGATTTTTTCATTGGCTGATTTATGCTTACACTATGGTCTAACAAAACGTGTCTTTACAGCATAATTCTTAAGTAGGCCTTCAGAGTTATACCTGGATGTTCAGAGTTAGGCCTGGATGTGTAACCTTAGGCAAGTTATGTCTCTTAGCTCTATCAGTTATGAGATGTGTAACTTTAGGCAAGTTATGTCTCTTAGCTTCTTTTTCCTCATTTTTAAGATGAGGGTGAAAATACTACTGCTCTCAGAGAATCCATGTAAGAGTTAACTGAAATAATAAAACGTGAAGTGCTTATTATGCCTGGCACGTTGTTAAGTACTCAGTAAATGTGAACTATTGTTAGTAAAGGACACTTTGATTTTTAGTGATCACAGTTTTAAAAGGTTCTCTTTTTCAGGGTTGATTTTTTAATGTGCCTTTTTTGAGGTGATCGCTTGCTGTGTAGATTGCAAGGCATTATTTTAGACTGGGGCAGCTTTTCTCAATTTGATTAACATATTGCATCTTTTGATTAAAGTGGTTATTAATTGCGAGCTTATTATTTTTAAATAATTTGTGTTTTCCCTTTGTTTCACTAGACATTAATAAAGGTTTCTGAAGCACTGCTTGATGGCAGCTTTGGGAACTGTAGTTCCCAATATGAAGAATATAGGATGGCCTGTCATAACCTGCTTCCTTTTACATCTGCCTTCTTGCCTGCTGTGAATGAAGTTGACAATCCTAATGTGGCACTGAACCATACAGCTAATTATGATGTCTTGGCAAATGAAATTTGAAATCTCCTAGAAAGTAGACTCCTATAGACTCAAAGCTGAATTGAGATCAGGGTTTCTTTTCCAGAGTGCATTTTAATACATGTATGAAATGAAATATTTGGTTAGGATTTTTAAATGGCATATTCTGTAAGCTTATTTTATTCTTTACCTGACCTGCCAATTTACACAACCATCTGTTAAAATTACCTGTTTGTTCTTACACAGTTTTGTGGTAGCTGTCGCTTCTATATGATAATTTCTTACTAAGCTAAGTTGTATACAACCCCACTGTATTATTTTCTTTAGATTCTGATTTCAGAATCTGTGCTTTGATTCCTCATCTGTTTGTTTTATTGTTTATTTGCTTGCTTTTTAATTAAAGCGCATCAGTTTTAAAGTGTTAACTATATGTTAAAAACAATATGGAGGCTGGGCATAGTGGCTCACACCTGTAATCCCAGCACTTTGGGAGGCCCAGATCGGCGGATCACCTGAGGTCAGAAGATCGAGATCAGCCTGGCCAACATGGTGAAACCCCTTCTCTGCTGAAACTACAAAAATTTAGCCAGACGTGGTGGCACGCACCTGTAATCCCAGCTACTCAGGAGCTGAGGCGGGAGAATCGCTTGAACCCAGGAGGTGGAGGTTGCAGTGAGCCGAGATCACGCCACTGCACTCCAGCATGGGCAACAGAGCAAGACTCCATCTCATAAAAAAGGAATTCTTCTTGGCAGATACTGAAGTTTATTTTAAAATTTAATTCGCCCTTTTTTTCATTGTAATATTTCGTGGTTTACTATTTCCTTTGTAGTATTCATGAAAATTGTATTTTCTGGTTGAATAGGGGTACTGTAGTTTTATGTAGATGATTTCAGAATGTGAAGGCTGTTTTGCCTGTCAGTCATGGAAATTCACTGGTAAAATTGTTGCATCTCTCTCCCAGTCGTAAAAGCCCACAGGCAAGAATTAATGCTTTCTTAACTAAGTTACTTCAGTGTTAACAAGTAGCTTATACTGAGGTATGCTTCAGGGGAGCATTATAGGGCAGAAAACAAATTAAAATGAAACGTTCTTATTCTTATAGCCATGCATTGACCATTAAATGCATTTTTATATCTCAGCAGAATGAGATTTGAAACTCATTAGTTTAACTATTAAAACACAGTGTTGTTAAACAGTATTTTTTGGGGGGGGGGGGGCGGGTGAATAGCTTTTTGTTCTACCTTGTACAGAAAACAGTAATGGAATCACTTATGTTCAGAACCTTGTAAATATGTCTGTAATATTAATGCTTCCCTTTATTAAGACAAATATACATTCAAAAAGGGAGATTTTATTTAGACACACGTTTTCTTTCACCCTAATCTATTTAGATTCATACTTATTGCGACAGGAAAAAGTCACTGTAAAATAATGCCAACGTAGATAATGCTATAATAAATTATTTTGTACACAGTTGCTTATTTATGTTTATGTTTGTGTTTTGTTACTGCTTCACACTACCAATATTTTCTGCAAAATATTCTTCGAGGAAGTAAAAACTTAATCACCTTAATCTTTTCAAGTTTTATAAAAAATGTAATTCTCAGTAACCACCTACCCAGCATATTTTTGTGCTGCAGTAGCTTGTCGTTTAGTATTTTAATAATTTTGTAACTACAGATGATCATTGGCTTAGGATGGTGTAAGATTTTTCAACTCTACCATGGTAAGAAAGTGATATGCTTCAGTAGAAACTGTACTTCGAGTTTTGAATTTTGGTCTTTTCCTGGGCTGGTGATATACAATACAGTACTTTTACATAAGATACTCAGTATTGGGCCGGGCGCGGTGGCTCAAGCCTGTAATCCCAGCACTTTGGGAGGCCGAGACGGGCGGATCATGAGGTCAGGAGATCGAGACCATCCTGGCTAACACGGTGAAACCCCGTCTCTACTAAAAAAATACAAAAAACTAGCCGGGCGAGGTGGCGGGCGCCTGTAGTCCCAGCTACTCGGGAGGCTGAGGCAGAAGAATGGCGTGAACCCGGGAGGCGGAGCTTGCAGTGAGCCGAGATCCGGCCACTGCACTCCAGCCTGGGCAGCAGAGCGAGACTCCGTCTCAAAAAAAATAAATAAATAAAAATAAAAATAAAAAAAATAAAGATACTCAGTATTTTATTATAAAATAGGCTTTGTGTTAGATGATTTTGTCCAATTGTAGGCTTATGTAAGTGTTCTAAGCACATTTAAGGTAGGCGAGGTTAAGCTATGATGTTTAGCAGGTTAGGTATATTAAATGCATTTTTGATTTATGAAATTGTCAACTCACAACAGGTTTATTGAGACATAACCCTAGCATAAGTCGAGGAACATTTGTAGTTCATCTTTGTCAGAAGTATCCTGACACATAATTCATGTTACTTTCAGCAAAATGACATTTGCATAAAATATGTCACTCATAATGTGGAAATTGTGCTTTCAGCGACAGCCTTTTAAAAAGTATTTCATTGGAGCCATTTAGAGTTTGAGAGTTCTGGGGCAGATGCAGTTGAGATGTGAGTAGTAAAATTTGAGGTACACATAGGGGAGGCAAGGTAAAGGGATACAGAAATTAGTGAAAACAGTGTATTGGCCAGTATATACTGGTTCTGTTCTTCCTGTCTGCGTTCTACTTCGAGTATAAAATAAACATCATAAATCTGGGACATGGGCAGGAATCCTCGTTAGGATAAGGAAGGCAGGGTGTGTCGTGTCTCTGCACCCTCTACCTTCACCATTCCCCCAACCTTGGGAGAGGCCTTTTTAGTCTCCAGAAAGTTAAAGGAGAATAGGGAAGCCCCAGAGGAGAAGCATTTGAAAGACAACTTAGAGAAGTCTTTAGTCTCACAAGGAAAAAGTTTGTTCCAGGTGATCCAGTCAAGTTTACCAGAACAGGTAGGAAAAGGCACAAAGATTCCAGGCATAGGGTGATAATTTAAGAATTTGGCCTCAGGTTTTCTGTGATTTGTTTCTTGAGGAACTGAATGAATGTAATGGGCAGAAGTCTACAGAGTCAAGAGCCATAGTAGATCTTGGATTGAGTTGTTAGCTAGAACAAGGGCCAGCAGACTTTCAGTAAGGGACCAGGCAGTAAATAGGCTTTGAAGGTCTCATACTGGTCTCTCACAATTCAACTCTGCTGTTGTACTGTAAAAGCAGCCTAGCCAGAAACTAATGGGTGTGACTGTGTACCAATACAATTGTATTTAGAAACATAAGCTATGGGCCAGATTTGACTTTCAGGCTAGGCTGTAGTTTGTGGACCCTAAAGCTACAAAAGTTTCTGCAAAGTGAAATATTAGAAATACCTGTGAATTCCATTTTTTTCCTGCCTAAAGCCGGGATGACTTTTATGTATATATTGTAATCCAAGCATCTTGACACTTTTGCTAGGTTATAGGACTCTCCTTTTGTTCAGTATGTTCATCCTAACAGTGTCATGTGCAAGGTACTTTTCTATATGTTAAGGATTACAGGTGTTTTGCTGAGTGCCTTTTACATGCCAGGCAGTTTCCTATATGTCGAGGATAACAATGAAAAATTTGACAAAATCACTGGAATTGCTCACATTCTATTAAATTGTGATAAGAAGGAAAGAATCATTCACTCAGTCTGTATTTGTTGAGTACTTGTATTTCAGACACTGTTCTAGGTATGACAGATACAGTAATGAAGTAGGTCCTTATTCTCCTGGGGTTTATATTTCCAGTTGGGTGAGAGAGGGAAACAAATACATAATGTCAAGCAGTGATCATTTCTGTGAAGATAAGCAGAGTATGAGTATAGATAGTAACACGGTTAAAGTGAAATTCAAGAATATCAAAAGTCTAAAAACGTAACAGAAGAAGATTACTCTAAGAGAATCAGTGACAGATTTCTCTAAAGCACTGAACGTAAGGAAATGGAAGGTTTTAGGCTGGGAGCAATGGCTCACACTTGTAATCCCAGTACTTAGGGAGGCTGAGGCCGGCAGATCACCTGAGGTTGGGGGTTTGAGACCAGCCTGACCAACACGGAGAAAGCCCGTCTCTACTGAAAATACAAAAAATTAGCCAGGCGTGGTGGCACAGGCCTGTAATCCCAGCTACTCGGGAGGCTGCGGCAGGAGAATCACTTGAACCCAGGAGGCGGAGGTTGCGGTGAGCCGAGATTGCACTATTGCAATCCAGCCTGGGCAACAAGAGTGAAAATCCATCTCAAAAAAAAAAAAAAAAAAAAGAAAATGGAAGGTTTTTAAAAAGCATTGAAGAAAAATAACTTTGAGTTTTAGTTTTAAATCCAATTAAATTAGCTTTAGACTGTGACAACACGTTAAAAATACTCATGCATATGAATCTCAGAAGATGTAACATACCAAGATCTTCATGGAAAATACTTCTGGAGCAATGTTAAATACAACAAATAGAAAATAAGATGGCAAAAATTCTGATGTAGCACTAGTTACAATAAATGTTGATTAGATGTTAGCCAATTAAGACTCAGATTCTCAAGCTGTATTAAAAGTTCTTTACAAGATGCATACTTGAAAGCAAAAATTGAGATAAAAGAGTGGCAACACAAGGCTGATATGAACTAGAATAAAGTTGAGGTAATAGTCCAAATAGAATTTAATGCAAAATATGACACATTATACATTGGTTTTAAAAAATACAACAAAAACCAAGAGATACAAACCATCATTAACTTACATGCACTTGCAACCTCAAAGTGTATCAAGCACCAGCCTGGGCAACATAGCAAGATCTAATCTCAGCTACTTGGGAGGCTGAGATTGGAGGATCACTTGAGCTCACAAGGTTGAAACTGCAGTGAGTTGTGATCGTGCCACTGCACTCCAACTTGGGTGACAGAATGAGACCATGTTTCACAAAGTTAAGTTTATCAAGCAAAAACAGACAACTGAAGACAAAAATAGAAATGCCAACAATGTAGTTGAGGATCGTAATATGCCCCTTTCCCTCTCAACTGGAAGATAAAGCAGACAACGAAAAAGCAGAGTAGAGTTGCTGAAGGTACAATTAGCTTGAACTAGTATTTATACAGAAGTCTACACAAGCTGGGTGTGGGCACACGCACCTGGAGTCCCAGCTAGGAGGCTGATGGGGAAAGATTGCTTGAGCCCCAACAGTTCAAATCTAACAAGACCCCATCTCTTTAATAATAATTTAAAATAAAAATAATAAAACCACTACACAAAATAGAGTGATTGAAAGAGTTTACTGTTTTTAAGTAGGAGGTCCAAGAAGACCTGTCTAATGAAATGAAATTTGAACAGATACCAAAATGAAGCCAGCTTTGCAGATAGATATTTAGGGGAAGAGTGTTCCAGAAGGACTAGGAGGGGCAAAGGTCTTGAGATGAGAATAGATGACCTGGTGGCAATATTCAAATAGCTGCACATATTAAATGTATGCAATTTGTTAAGTTTGGACATATGCAAACACTGTGATGCCATCACCACAAAGAAAGAGACACATGCAGCACCTCCCAAAGTTCCCTTGTGTCCTTTTTGTTGTGGTAACAACACAACATGAAGCGTTCTTAACACTTAAAAAATTTGAAGTGCCTAATATAATATTGTTCACTGTAGGCACTATGTTGTTCGGCAGATCTCTAGAATTTATTCATCTATAGCATAAATGAAACTTTAACCCATTGAACAACTCCCCACTTCCCCCACTCCCAACTCGTGGCAACCATTGTATTCTCTGCTTCTATGAGCTTGGCTATTGTAGATAACATCATGTAAGTGGAATGATGTGGAATTTGTCCTGTGACTGGCTTATTTCACTTAGAATAATGTCCTCCATGTTCATCCATGTTGGCATAAATGGCAGGACTTCATTCTTTTTTAAGGCTGATATTCCACATATTCTTCATTCATTTATCTGTTGATGCACACTTGGGTTGTTTCCATATCTACTATTGCAGTGTGTCTTCTTTTTTTTTTTTTTTTTTGAGATGCAGTCTCACTCTGTTGCCCAGACTGGAGTGCAGTGGCACAATCTCGGCTCACTGCAAGCTCTACCTCCCGGGTTCACGCCATTCTCCTGCCTCAGCCTCCCGAGTAGCTGGGACTACAGGTGCCTGCCACCAGGCCTGGCTAATTTTTTTGTATTTTTTAGTAGAGATGGGGTTTCACCGTGTTAGCCAGGATGGTCTCGATCTCCTGACCTCGTGATCCGCCCGTCTCGGCCTCCCAAAGTGCTGGGATTACAGGCTTGAGCCACCGCGCCCGGCCAACTTATTTTTATTTTTCGTGGAGACGAGTCTCCCTGTGTTGCCCAGTCTTGTCTCAAACTCCTGGGCTCAAGCGGTGGCCGGATCTCAGCTCACTGCAAGCTCCGCCTCCCGGGTTCACGCCATTCTCCTGCCTCAGCCTCCCGAGTAGCTGGGACTACAGGCGCCCGCCACCTCGCCCGGCTATTTTTTTTGTATTTTTT